TTTAAGAATCGCCACACTGCTTTCCACAGAGGTTGCACTAGTTTACACTCCCACCAACAGTGTAGAAGTGTTCCCTTTTCACCACACCCTCTCCAGCAGCTGTTATTTTTGAGTTGTTGATGATTGCCATTCTGACTGGGGTTAGGTGGTATCTCAGTGTGGTTTTGATTTGCATCTCCCTAATGATTAGTGAGGTTGAACATTTCTTCATGTGTTTGTTGGCTGCTCGCATGTCTTCCTTTATGAAGTGTCTGTTCATATCTTTTGCCCATTTTATAATGGGGTTGTTTGTTTTTTTCTTTTCAGCATGTTTGAGTTCCTTGTAGATCCAGGATGTTAAGCCTTTGTTGGACTTGGAGTTGGCAAATACTTTTTCCCAGTCTGTAGGCTGTCTCCCTGCTCTCTTGATGGTTTCTTTGGCTTTGCAGAAGCTTGTCAGTTTAATGAGGTCCCACTTGTCTATCTTCTCTCTTATGAGCTGTGGGTTTTGGGTTTTGTTCAGGAATTGGATGCCAGTTCCGATTTCCATGAGGGTTTTTCCTTCATTTTCTAAGGTTCTTATGGTTTGAGGTTTTACATTTAGGTCTCTGATCCATTTGGAATTAACCTTTGTGCATGGGGATAGATAGGGGTCCTGTTTCAATCTTCTGCATGTGGTCAGCCAGTTTTCCCAGCACCATTTACTGAATAGGTTCTCCTCTCCCCAGTGGTAGGTGGTGGAGGCTTTGTCAAAGATGAGTTGGTTGAGAAATTGAGGTTTTGCTTCTGGGATCTCAATTCTATTCCATTGATCTATATGCCTGTTCCTATACCAATACCAAGCTGTTTTGATGATTGTAGCCTTATAGTAAAGTTTGAAGTCTGGTAGTGTGATACCACCTGCTTTGTTTTTTTTGCTGAGGATTGTTCTGGCTATTCTTAAACGTTTGTGTTTCCATATGAATTCCTGCATTGTTTTTTCTAGGTCTGAGAAGAATGTTGTTGGTAATTTGATGGGTATTGCATTGAATTTGTAGATTGCCTTAGGTAAGATGGACATCTTCACAATGTTGATTCTTCCGATCCATGAGCATGGGATATTTTTCCATTTGTTTGTGTCAACTTTGATTTCTTTGAGCAGTGTTTTGTAGTTTTCCTTGTAAAGGTCTTTCACGTCTCTGGTTAGGAAGATGCCAAGGTATTTCAATTTTTTTGTGGCTATTGTGAATGGAATTGTGTTTTTTATTTGGGTTTCTGTTTGTTTATTATTGGTGTAGAGAAATGCGATTGTCTTTTGTACATTTATTTTGTATCCTGAGACTTTGCCAAAGGTCTTTATCAGTGTAAGGAGGTTTTTGACAGATTCTCTCGGGTTTTCAAGGTATACAATCATGTCATCTGCAAAGAGAGATAACTTGACTTCCTCTTTTCCTATTTGGATACCCCTGATTGCCTTCTCTTCTCTGATTGCTCGCGCCAGGACTTCCAATACTATGTTGAACAGGAGGGGTGAGAGTGGGCATCCTTGTCTTGTTCCAGTTTTCAGGGGAAATGGTTCTAACTTTTGTCCATTTAGGAGTATGCTCGCTGTGGGTTTCTCGTAGATGGTTTTTACTATTTTGAGGTATGTTCCCCATATGCCTAGATTCTCAAGGGTTTTTATCAAGAAGGGGTGCTGGATTTTATCAAAAGCTTTTTCTGCATCAAGATCTAATTTAAAACTAAATATTTCTTGCATCAAAAGACTCTTGTACCCAGTTAGTGGTCTCTGTGACCTAGAATTATGACCTTGATCAAACAAGTGCAGGCTAGGTAAGAAACACTCATCTAGAGTTTGGAGTTTTGTGATTTCTGTATCATAATTTTCTTGGGCATGGTTCTCTAACACCTTCTTATGATGGGAAAAGAGGGATAGGAGCCATTCTCAGAAGTTCTGACTAATAGGACTTTGCATCTGTTCATTTCCGTGATTCTCAGTGGTACATTGTGTCTCTCCAGGTTCCACCGTTTGGCATCCCGACTGTAAGCAATCCACTAAAGCAGAGGACAAGCTACGGGTAAGGACAATTAGAACATGATGCCAGGTGCATTTGTATACTCTACATGGCCACTCATTCTTGGGGCTGAAATTTGGGTGAAATTACGTTTTACAGATGTCTTCCCCCTCTAGCAAACCAAGTTTAAAGGCCATGTGACTGAGGAAGGGTTTCCTTCTTGCCTGTAATTTATTGCTGTGTTTTGTTTTGCTTTGTTTTGTTTTCTTCTGTTTGTTTGTTTGTTTTTTCCCAAATGGCTTGTGTTGGACAAAGTAAGCCTTGCCTCACTAGTCAGCTTCTTAGGAAAGCATTCAAGGGAAAAGTCAAACCATGCAGATGGGACGAAAATGATTCGTCAAGCTCTAGGTACAACATCTGGTGACCTTCTCACCAGACTTTTTGTACTTCATTCCTGCTGCATCACTCCAACTCAAGCTCTGCATTTGTTACTTAGCTCTTGGGTACATTTTACTGACCACTCAAATCCAAATTCACCAGAGTAGCCTCCAGCCCCAAAAGCTGATGGTTTGTCAGATAAAACCTTTGGGGAAGATAATGATGAGCCCAGACATGTAAATTAGTCAATTCTCAGAACACCTCCAAATATTGTATCTGCTTCAGAAGCCAAAAGCTATACACAGTCGTAAGATCATGGCCATAATCTCTATCCTGTTCAGATGCCTTCAGTTTTGGATCTGGGCTATGAGTTATCTTCCAGTGTGATAATCAGACTGAATGAATTCCAATCCCTCAGGTTACCTGACTTAGAGATACCCATATAAAAACTGGAGTATGATTTCACTCTTCTTGATGTCTCAGAGAAAAGAACGGCCTGGATTTGTTTTGGGGGCCAGACTCTAGTGCGTAGTGTGATTTCTTCCTGATCTGCCTTGAGCAGACACTAGGAGTGCGGTAGAAATCATCGATGGGAACTGGTCACCAATGTGTGACTTGTGAAGGGATGACTTGGCTTCAGAGAAATGATGATCAGTGAGACCCATTTGCTCTGACTTTCTCTAGATCCCTTTGCTTGATACCTCAGGAACTGCAGCTCCTGTTTTCTAGTGCCTTTCCTTCGTGCTCTTCAATAAAACACATGGATGCACAGGAACCTTTGTCTCCCCCCAACTGGCATCCATTATACCACGTAGATATTTTAGAAACTTGTCCCTTCCTGTGACCCTGAACAAAAACAGCTCTCTTGGAATTCATGATTATTATGAATATACTTTAAGGGAAGAAACAAAATCCTTTTTCTTAAAATAATTGAATAGAGATAATAACAGCTGGAGAGGGATTTGTTTACCAATATTATGATGGTTCTGCTCTGTTTCTGACAAGTACTTGCTTCTGAAGTTCATCAGCCAGACCAGCACATACTAGAATAGTCACCCAGTTCTGGGGGCTAGACTCTGGGATTTTTGAAGAACCATGGATGCTTTGGAAATGGGTTATTCTTATAAAATATGAGATTATTAAAGATAGTTCTTATTGCCACTTTTATTGTAAGAATATAAAATTCACAACGTAGCTTGGGGATGCTGCCCAGAAACCACCCAAGTAGTTGGTGGTTTGCACTATCTCTATAGTATTGCTTTTAGGCTTTTGAATAATCATTTTTACTTCATCCCTGGTGAAGTCTTTTGGGAGACAAAGAGAGGACTGCTAATGAGGCCAGACTGAGTGGGATGTGTATCTTTTCTCTATAAGGAAAACTCTCTGGATAAGCTTATGAAAACAACTAGTGAAATACTTCCACTTATTCTGGCCAAGAGAAGCTATTGTTTTCTTCCTTAAGTAAGCTTTCCAGAGAATTCCAAAGTTCTTCTAAACCCAGCACTTTCGACTTGGGAGGTCAGGTCAGCACTCTGGATCCCTGTCTTTGGAAAGCCCAGTAGTGAGGAAGAGCATGCACCTCAGCGGGAAAGAGGCTCTGATGTACCCGGAGTCGGGGTGCATGCTGATCTGGGTGGATCTTAAAGGGGAATAGGTCTTAAATAGAGAAATAAATCTTGTGCTCTCTTAAGGGTGTGACTACGGATAACAAATCTTGAGCCAAGATTTCCAGGCCTTTCACTGTGTGTTACATTAGTGTAGTTTCCATAGCAAAATGAAAATGTTTTAAGAATCTTTCAGCCACCCCTGAGTTATCCACATTTTTGATATTTGTGTTCATAACAACAGATTTTTAAGAACGTCTCTCAGTTGGCTTCACTGGTTTCTTACCCTTCATGTATTATAAGAATGTCTAAACCAAAATAATAGAAAGTAATTGGGGGTGAGGGTTGGAGCTTAGATAAATATGCTGTAACTGGAAGACCAGTTAATATACTTTTGAACTCGGGCCCCAAAATTGACCAAATATATATACATCAATAAAGGAATGCGACTTGAAGTTTACTATAAAGTTCATTTTCCCCAAGACCTTTTTTTAAATAGTGTTTCTGAATTGAGGATATTTCTTTATTTATTCTTCTCTTTTCTCATGTTTCATGGCAGCCACCAAACATTCATCATTCTTCATCCGATTTCTTTTATCCCAAAAGTCTGATTCGACGCACAGGACGGTCTCTGTCTCTGCAGGTTGGCGCTGTGTCTAACTGGAGCTCGGAGTCACTGTCTGGGGGCTTCTGTCGCTTCCTCACCTCCACTCCCCACCCCCACCCCCCACCCCAGGCTGCTTTTCCCAAGTCTGGCTCCTGCAGACGGCAGCTGCTTCTCTCACCACACGAGTGCATCTCACACTCTGGCTGTTTTCTTCTTAGATTGATGTATTCATTCAAAGCAGTGGCTACAGTTTTGTCTTTATTAAAGCAAGCACATGAGAAGCTGTCTTTTGGTCCTGTGTTGCCATGTTTGTTCACTGAACAAGCATCTGCCAAGCTGCAGATCACTGAGCTTCATAGGGAAGAAAAGACAGATACACAATGATAAGGTGGCACAGAAACAGATCACAGAATGCGTATCGCACAGACCACAACCTTTGGAATGTCAGGTGAGGGAAAGGTCACTTTCCTGGGAGAATTCATCTTTGAATTGAATTTTGAATGCTGGCTGAAATTTGACAATGTGGAGGTGAGGAGAAAAGGGCGGGTGGGCCTGATGAAGAGGACAGTAGAAGCATGCATCTGGAAAAAGCAGCGCCTGGGTAGGGAGTGCTTTGGCTTAAGAAAGGACTAGTGAAGTAACTGAGCATGAACACCTTACTCTGCGGAGGTTGGTGGAGTTACATACCATCTTATTTGCTCTCTCTAAGAATTTCTATGAGGTAGAGAGTCTTATTCCCATTTTACAGATGGGGAGACTGAGATCCATTTTAATTAGGTAACTGCCCCAGAGTTACCCTAACGGTAAGTGGAACAGCTGGAATTGGAACCCAGTATTCTGTGAGCCCATCTTTCACATTCTTTCCACTATACTGCAAAGGAATGGTGAGAGAAAAACCTTGGAAGACAGAAGAACATTAAATACTGGCTACGGGTTGACGGGGGCCACTGATGGAGTGTGAGGAAGAGAGCAGCACCACCTGCCCGGAGTATCCAGATGAACAGATGAAAAGGATGGGCAGATTATGTTCCACGCACAGACTTGACCTTCTTTAGGGGTCTTGAGAATCAGTGAAAACCTTTGTCTGCTCAACTAGAGATGACTTCCTACGATCCCATCTCAGTCTAGATGAGACCCATGCTGCAGCTCTGCTAAGAACTCGGGATTGCACCGCAACACTTTAGTCTGGGATTCGTGCCAATGCCTTTTTTTGTACTGCACTGAAGATGAGAAGAGTTTGTGTTTCTGTCTATTTTTATTAAAACTTTATCTTTTTTCTTTAAATGATGAGAAAGACAGAAGTATGAAGTTTGTGAGTGGAAAGAACCCTTTGACAGGCAGCACCCTCAGTTCCTTCATCTATACAATGAAGGCAGACTCGTGGAGCAACATGCCCAAGGCGGCACTGGTCATGAACAGCAAGACAGCTGCTCTCTTGGGTTCCCTGACCCCAGGCCATGGTGCCTTGTGCTGGCAGAGTGTCCTGAATTCAGAGGAACAGCCGAAGATTATCCCCACTACAAATGAGTACTCCTCAGAATTAGTGCCTCCATTTGGCAAGGAGTCACTTTTTCAATCTTTTTTTTTTCACAGTAGTATAAACTTCACACAAATAGTGTTGTATTTTGTTAGCTTAAGGGTATCACCACATGATGCATTTTCATGACTTTAAAAAAAAGTTCTATCATCAAGTGTGAACTTTTTTTGGTTTGCTCCAGAACCTTACGTTTTAAGAGATTTAGAGCATTGAGAGAGACAGAGAGATCTGTTTTTTAATACTCTCTCTTCCTATCCTGTTGTTCAAAAGGGACATCTGATTCCCATTATCCAGCTGTAAATATCAGTGAAGTCAACTTGAGCTCCATCACAGAAAGTTGTAAACAGCTTGGGACCTGGCAGAGAAAAGCAGGTTGTTTGTCAAGGTCTCTCTTCACCAGTTGGCAGTTGAAGAATGGCTCATCAGAACCTTTAAAGAAACCAGCAGTGTGGTTCTCAAGGCATAGATATTTGGATCTTTTAAGTACTTTGACCTCTACACAGCAACTCATTTCCACCACATAAAATTAGGTACCCTTTGTTATTAGATAAGCTGACTATACTCCTTACAGGGACATTCAGTACTCTGTGCCCTAGAAATAAGTCCTGGTTTTGTTGTGGAGGAAAGTCAAATTTATAGCTGAAAGTCATTTCATTATTTATATTTGTATTGAAAAATCACTCTGTCTTTCTGTTTTGCCTGAATTCCAGGTAAAAGAAAACAGTAAAAAATAGAATTACCTAAGGAAGACATATTCTGGTTTTACTTACTTGTGAAAAAATTTTATGTGAATAGTAAATTTTGTCTGTAGGTGAAACTCAGTTCTGAGCATGTGTAATTCATTATACAAATGACAAAGCACGAATGGTATTCCCAGGACCAAGTTTATAATACTCTGGAGTGTGTCACTTGCTTTCATTCTAAAAAGGTGTTTTTCGCAGCTGTACCTTTGGAGGCTAAAGCATGAATTGACTGACCTACAAAATGGGCATGAGATTTTTTTCTTTGAAACTAACATTCACCTCTATAATGATATACTTGCAAATCTATTATACACCAAGCAAATACAATGTGTATGTTTTTTAAAGGGAGCTAGTAGTAGAGGCTTTATGTGTGTCTGGAACAAACAAGTGATATTGCTTGTTGGGTTTTGTTTTATTAATGTCACTACAGTACATGCTGCTTTATTTTAGCTTTCCTTTTTTTCTGGCATCTTATCCTCCTTGGTGTCCCTTTACAGTTCACCAGGCAGTCAGATGTAGGGGTGTTAAGATTTATACTGGGACATCAGGGAAAGGTTGTCTCCAGAGAAGGGATATGTGCTCACAGCACCTTCCTGCTTTCTCTCCAAACACAAGTTTTTTTATCCAAAGGAGTTTATTTCACCATTTCTTGACTTAGCCGTGGGCATTTAATATGTGCAGACTTTAAAAGTATTCCTTCTTCTGCAGCTCTTATCACCACCTTGTCTAGTGAACTTCAACAAAAACCCAAGGCAGGTACTGTCAACATCAGCAGTCCTTAGTCTAAGGTGTCAATCACCTTATATCAGTAGTTGTCCCATGGGTTTTCATAAGATCGTTCCGATCTGGTTGCTAGTTGCCTGTAGTTTCTCGCTCCTTAGAGCATGGCTTGGGATAAATGCAAATTAGATGAATGTAGTGGTTGCATCCCTGCTCCTGCTGAATGGGGGTGGGGTGGGGTGGGCAGGGACTGCAGAGTACTTTCCGGTACTGTCCTTCAAAGGCCCCCTTGTACATGGTGGCCCATAATTGAAAATAAGTGGAAAAGGCCGTTGCTTTACTTGCTCCACAAGCAGCACTCTGGTAAGTGTTTTTCATGGTTAATATTTGAAGACTGGTGAGAGCTGGAGTGGAAACATAAAAAAATCTCTTCAATTAATTTTCATTCTGTGACTTTACCCTCTGAAGGGTAGGAAAGATGGACAATGTCAAGGCATGAGGGGAGAAACATCTTAAAGGTAGTTAGAGGGCTTTTATAAGAGATTTTATGAAGAAAACAAAAGGATATGCTTTTTCAAGCATCTAGTTACTTATCAGTGATTAAAAGCTATTTTTTCTTTCTCCTGTTGAAATGAACTGCCAGTCTTCCGGTGAGGCCTCTCTTTATAACTTTTTTTTTTTTTTTTTTTTTTTGAGGAAAATAAAAAACCTTGTTGAAGTCAAGAGTGAAAACATGCCAGTGTGCTGGGGAAATAAGTGTAGAGCAAATGGATCCCTTCTTCATGAGAGGTTGAGGGAAGACAGCCACAGGGAACTAGAAGGTTCTTACTAAGGGCTCCCTTCTTCCCTTTGCCAAAATAAGGTTTAAACTATTTGCCTTATCTTACTGGTAAAATACTTTGAGAGATCACTGCCATATATAATCCTTTCCATATCTACCTTGCCTTCCTTCTTTATTCCTCCTCAAATCCCCTCTGTCTTTTATTTATTTACTTATTTTTTGGCCAAAGATGGCATCAAAAGAAAGAACTGCATTTTTCAAGGTGGTTTTTCTGCAAGGAAAGGTGGTTAAAGGAAAGTAAGTAAATTACACCTGCTTTGAACATCTTAATCATGAGTCCTTGCTGTTTCCCTGTGGAACAGAAGTGGGCATACCTTTGGGAATAAATATTTGAAATTGTCTTCTTTTATCACATAGACAAGAGAGTGATTTTGTTTATCGTAACTCTCATAGAGAATTCCAGAAACAAGGCTGCTCACCCATTGTGTAAGCTCACCCATTGTGTAATTGAATTCAGTTCATAATTGCTGGGTCACTATCGTTACCCTGGATATCACAACGGGTTGAAAAGGCAAGTTAGGTTAGCTAATCACATGTCAGGATCATCAGTGGAAATGTGAATTATCTATAAAAATTTTGTTGCAGCTCAGCGAGGTAATACTAGAGTGTTGGGTTAATGGCAAAGAAGAAATTATCAGAGGGATTTGAAAGTGGGACAGCATGTTAGGTTAGTGCTTTCAAAGTTGAGATTGTGTTTCATTCTGAGTATGTACCGCTGCATTGGGGGACAGCTCTGTGCCTTTTGAAGATGTCATAGCCACAAGAGCAAGTTTCGATTTATTAGGAAAAGAAAAGTAACAGCTGGAAGAATAAAATGGGTTTATTTTAATAATAAACAAGATGTTAAGTTGAAATTCAACATGCTTAGAATTCTAGATGTTTAGAATTGAAATGTAAAATTCTAAGTGTTTAGAATTAAATCTCCAAAGATAATTTAAAAGTAATTGTATGACCTTTATAAGCAGAGACCCTTAACCTCTGCCATTTGAGCAAATACACTTAGAGAGACGTTAGGGACCGTGGCAAAACGTGATCCGTGTGTGTCATTTAAGCACAGTTCAATAGGCGGCAAACCAGGAACTGTCCTGACAAACCAGACAGGCCTGTGCAAAGTCTTTGTCATCAGCACAGGAAGGGCATTAATTACTAAAGTTGTGACACAGGCAGGAAGTCATTGTCTCTAAGAATATTCGGAATTACTTCATAGAGTTCTCAAGGAGGAGAAGGGTATTTGTCAGCTCCTGGTGGGAGTACTGCCCTCACATAGTGTGATAAATTACTTTACATCTTTGAGTTCTGATAGGAAAGAATCCAAGTGTGGTAGCTATAGAGAATGCTAGGGTAGCCTAGTCGATGTAACTTACATTCGAAAGGAATATTCTATCATGACGAGCAAAACAGAAGCAGGGCTGTTGAGTGTTATTTGAGCTTAACTGCCTAAGAAATCCAGTCTAATGCCGAATGTCTGGAACATGTTGACTACTTGCCATGTGCCCAGCAAGGTGCTTGGAGCTTTAAATGTATTCTCTCATTTAACCCTAGGAAATAGTTGTTGCTCGTGCCCTGCCCCCTGCCCCCATTCTATAAATGGAGAAGTTGAAGCTCAAGGAAGTTAAAAGAAAAACTCGTGTATCACCGCACGACTAGTAGGGTCCAGATTTGAACTGAGTTATCTGGTGCCAAAGTCAGCTTTTTAACCCCATTGTATTATGTGGTACATAGTTGTGTTTTATCCCATAATTTCAATATAGACAGGAAAACAAAAAAGAGCCATTGTAAGAAAATAGGCAAGCGAGTGTGCATCTCAACCATAAACAAGATGCCTGCAGAAGTAAATTTTACAGTAAAGTTGGAAGATCAGAATGTAGCAAAAGCAAAAGATGAAATAAAAAGGGGAAAAAAGTACCTTCTGACTCTCCCAGATAACACCTTGAACATTTCTCAAGTAATGCTAAATAGTCCACAGATGGAAGTGGCAGAGTGACTCCTCCAAGAAGAGCCAGATTATCAAATTTGGTGATCAGTTCACTTGACTTTGAAAACTGTCTGCCTGTAGAAATCTAAAACATTTTGGACTCAGAGACTTTGGGGGCAGGTATATACAGATTGAAGGTGATTCTAACCTGAAAATCTTTAAAGACCAAATGGAACTTGACAGGAAATCAGATTGCTTAATAACTCTTAAAATCTTTAGTTCAGCAATGTTAACACTACAAACAAACAAGATGAATGCTTCAGAGAAAGTCTGCATAACTAGCAGGATCCTCTAATTCAATCAAGAAGGAAGGCAGAGAGAAACTGAACTGAAATAGGCCAATAGTTGAGCCAAGAGACCTTTTTGTCCCTTCATCCCTGGAGGAAAGCTTTAAACTCCCCTTCCCTACATGCACTCATGTTGTTCTTCTATTCTATTCCTATCAGCACATGGAGTACAAGAGCACAGAAACACTTCAGAGCCATCCCCAGGTGCACCATTCCAGGAAAGACAAAGTATCCTTGCTCCACACTTGGCAACAAAAGGGATGAGTAGCTTATGAAAGACCTCAGAGCTCCAGTGTACACTTTGGGCTGTTCACACAATGTCCTGGATGCTTGTTCATGGAAACAGGCTTTGCCATAGCAATCCCAGTAACTAAAGACATCTGGCTCTGCTGTAGCACACCCTCCCCTGCCCTCCCCATCCCACCCAACAGTGAGCCATTGCCTTGTTCTCATAGAGCTGGTACGATACAAATATTCTCAGCTAGCTGGCATTCTTTGCAGCTACTTGACCTCAGTATTACTCTCACTCCATTTGTCCTGTAGCGATGTTGATGGGAAGCAAATAGTCACGCTTACCTTATACTACAGGCAAACTTTTAGTGCAGGGGTTAAGTGCTTGGGCTCTAGACCTAAGGTATTTGGGTTCATATCCTCTCTGTCTCTTTCCTACCTATGTGGCTTGAAGTGTTCACACTTTTATCTATAAAATAGGGTTAATAACAGAACCTACCTCATAGGTTATTAGGAAGATAAATGAGATTAAACCTGGGAGCTGCTTGGCACAGGCCTGTCGCATGGTAAGTGGGAAATAAACATTAGCTGTTGTAAATATTCTTGGGTTGCTACTTAAGAGGTTTCATTTTGGTAGATGTTAGATCCTGGCCATTTGAAGCTGAAGGACTGCCTGTAATTAATAATTATCCCATAGAGATGAACACTGGTTCAACTTTTTCAAGGGGTGACATCTCTTTGTAAAGGAGGGCTGCATTTTGGTTGTGTCACTTCTATATTTTGGTTAGGAAATGGAGAGGAAAATTGGACTATTTTTTTGGTAGTGTCATATGAATCCTTTTTCAACATTCTCAGATGTGCAATTTTCTCAGATTGAGATGCACCTGTGATTTGCATAACTTGAGAAGGAAAGTGCTTGTGCGTGGCAGGTCTTGGGTGGAGCACCAGAAGCTGTTAACCTGGTATGCCTCCACCTTCACCCACCCTTGTATTTCAAAGATGCCAGAGACATTGGGCAAGAATGATTGATCACAGTTATTCAGTGAATTCTTACTTTTTTAGGGTAAGTCTGATCACTGCCTGACTTGAACTGGCCTGATGTGTTTACCCACATTGTTTCAGAAGTGAATTCCATAGTGATACAACACCCATGTCTTTGGGAGTTATTTTGACTCAGTTATACTCATATTCAAGGTGTTAAATATCAATAGAAACAGTTCTAAAGAGGAAAGGTACTATTTCTGTTGTAGAACTATACATTATCCAGGAAATAACTTCAATATAGGTGAGGAAGTATTCCCAGACTAGATCTATAGTTTTCTTTGAGGAGCTTTCCAGAATATGCTAAACAGAGGTAGGAGGTAGCTGATTCTAGTTTATACATTTCCTTTACGCTCATTTAATTTCCACTCACTCTCCACATTCTTCAGGTGTATATTATAAAATCCAGTTTCTTTCATCTTCCCCAAAGGCCGGCCATCAACCTTACTTCAGTGACTATCTGTGTGGTTAGGTTAAAATCACATGATTAACATGAGTCAAGTGTCCGCAAACTGAGTATTTGTTTACAAATAAAAATATCTAGCTCATTCCCACCTAGCATTGGGTATGTACGGTAGTTAAAAAAACTCTGGAAGGTCTGAGATCATGACTAAAATTAACGAGGGAGATAGACATGATGCAAGGAAAACAATAAATGCAGTAATATAAGTTCTTGTAGGGGACACAGAAGAGGAAACGACTAAGAAAGCCCCCCAACATGTTTTCAAAACTGAATCACACAGCTAATTTTTATTTATCTTTCCTTTTAGATTATATTTTCTCTTATTTACAAAGGTCACAAATCTTTCCTTTTTAAACTAGTTTAGTTTTTAGTGAAGCTTAGGGACCCAGACCAGTCTTGGTTCTGAAACCATGGTACTCTGAAATCTTACAAGTCACTGTTTATTTTACAGCCTACCAGGACTTCCTCAGAAAGTATTTACTCTAGACCAGGCTCCAGTATCCCTGGCTCACCAGGTCATACTATCTATGTAAGTATCTACTTCTGGAAGTGGCACTTCAGGGAAAGGAATTAAACTAGTGGATTGTAATAGCAGAATTGATCATCCAAAACGACTTCTATTTCTGTTATGAGTTCTGATTTTCATTTTTATAGATCAGTCTTCTCAATCATGTTTTCCTTCAAATAATTAAATGCATATGTCAACATGAATGGCATAATCAAAAGATGACCTGTAAGTGTAATAATAGGCGGCACTTTAAAAATTGTTGCACCTAACTTGCATATAGATATTTGGGGTTTAATTATATACTTTATAATGCTGTCACTGAATGTTCTTAAATTCTGCCATAAAGATATTTAAATATTTAGTTTATTAAATATGCAGTTCTTGTTTTTAGCCATCTGGGAGGATTATTTGACCATCTGTCTGGAGCTTTTTCCTCCTCTGGAATAAATTTAGAAAGTTATCCTTAAGGTTTGCACATTCTCTGTTTAATAAATTCTGTGCAGAGTTCTTCCTAAGCTTTTGGTGACTTAAAAAAGAAAACATGATTCGTATATGTTATAAATGAGCCATTTTTAAAGACTATAACTGTACTAAGCAAAGTGTTTTGTTTTGTTTATTTTTAATGGCTTCACTTTTTAAACAAGATAGGAATACTCTAACCACAGTTTCTTGGAGGAATGGGACTATGGGGTAATTTTTCTTTCTGATTAATTTTGCCAGGCAAAAGTAGACAATGAAATCCTGGATTACAAGGATTTAGCAGCCATTCCCAAGGTCAAGGCAATTTATGATATTGAACGTCCAGATCTTATTACATATGAGCCTTTCTACACTTCGGGCTATGATGACAAACAGGAGAGACAGAGCCTTGGAGAGGTAATTAATTCCTAGTGGTTGTGTGTTGTATGACAATGTAAATCAGACAATCTTTTGTCTGCCTACCTATTTGCAGATTTCTATACCAAGTGCTTGAGTTATTCAAAAGTCAGTCCCATGTTCCCTGCTCTCAGGGAGGCTATGAGAGGTGGGAGAGCAGAACAACTGCACATAAAAAAACCACAAAGGAGGATTGAACCTCAGCTTGCTGGGATGGAGGCTGCTCTTGTGAAGGGGCATTCTGTGAACTGGGCAGAGAGAATAAGGGAGGGAGAGTATTCTGGGGGTCTTGGTCTCGAGATAAGCTTTAAGTATATTCATGAGATCATGAGGAGAGAGAACACACCCCCAAATTTTGGTAGCTGCAGTTTTCAGCATCTTAAGGTGGTTAGAGTGTGCAAAAATAAAAAAGAAAATGTAAAGAGACTGGGACAGTGTATGAGATAGGGTTCTGGAATCAAATTTCCTGGTCTTAACCTAGGGGATACCTCATGCTGGTTGTCTGACTTTGGCTGTGTGACAACTGTTCTGATCCTAGTTTCCTCATCTGTAAGACAGGTAGGATAATGATAGAATCTACCTCATAGGGTGTTGGTAAGGATTAAATAAACTAATCTATGTAAAGCAATTAGCAGAGACCAGACTTGGGGTAAATGTTCAGCATGTGGCAGCTACTACCATTGTAGTAACTTGTGTTCTGTGGGCTTATTCATGCTTAGCCAGCAGACCCATCCCGCTGCTGGACCAGACCCTCTCAGCTCCTTAAGGTCTTCCCGTCCCTCATCCCTTCCCAGGGTTGAAGTTTCCCTGCAGTTTCTTCCTGTCAGGTCTGTTTCCCTGGGCCTCTTCGGCTCACTCTAATGTTTTTCACCTTTTAATTTTTTAAATTGGCATCATCTATGCTCTGATTTGAATCCACACAGAGAAATATTACCCAAATAGTAGACCGAAATTAGCCATTCAACCAAGGTTAAAACAGAATGTAAACAATCTTATAGCATCATACAGTGCTTTGAGGCCTTACATGAGATGAAGAAAAGACATGAAAATGTGGTGATTCTGTTTAACTTGTTATCAATTACGTGTACAATATTTATTTGTAATTACATATTGTTTCTTTTGTTTATTGATGTTCTAATCTGGGTTTTATTCCAGAGCATAGCTTTGCATTGAAACAGTACATTGGGCAGGAAGTGATATCCATTTTCGTGTAGTGCCACCTAGTGGCCATTGCTCCCTCTGCCATGGCTCTCAAATGCAGGTTGATTAATCTAGGTTGTTCAGTTGCCATTGAACCTGAGAGAGTTTCATAAGGAATAAATGTGAAGGGGAGGTTCATGAACAGAGTACTTAGGAGCTGTTATTGGAGCAAGAGAAAGAGAATTGGTTGACATTTAAGTCATACAAACAAGGGGGATGTGACGTTTTCTTGTGTGTGTGTGTGTGTGTGTGTGTTCGGAGTCGGAGTCTCACTCCGTCGTCCAGGCTGAAGTGCAGGTCGCTCATGGCCACCCCAGCATCAACCAACTGGACTCCAGCAATTCTTCCACCTCAGCCTTGCAGGTACTTGGAACTACAAGGGTGCGATACCACGCCCAGCTAATTTTTGATTTACTGTGGAGACAAAGTCTCGCCAAGTTGCCTGGGCTGGTCTTGAACTCGCAGACTCAGGCAATCCACTCGTCTCAGCCTCCCAAAGTGCTGGGATTACAAGCTGAGCCACCGAGTCCCGCTGTGACATTTTCTTATGTTATGGGTTTGGGTAGGTATGAGCACATGTGTGTCTGTGTGCATGGGTATATGCTTCCCAGCAGCTCAATTTTGAGTGTTAAAACATTAAGCACTCAAGAAATTGGGCTTTGAGGTGAAAATTTCTGCTGAGGAGTTTGAGGCTGCAGTGAGCTCTGATCCTGCCACTACACTCCAGCCTGGGAAGCAGAGAAAGACTCTTTCTAAAAAATAAATATTAACTTTAAAGAAATAAATAATAACTTTAAAAAAATAACCAGTCTCTAATGTTTACTAACCATTTGAGTTTGGGAAAATTACACACTTCAGTCTTGTTGTCTGTGAACTTGAGATAGAGAACCATAATATCTACTTCAGCAATTTTCTGTAAGGATTTAGTGAGATATTTAGATTAGAACTGAACTTGGCACATAATAAGTGCTCAACAAAAATGCTGTTGTTCTCATAATCAGCATTGTTACTGTCATAAACTGGAATGATGTCCTGTGTTTTTCTCTATGCATAAAGGATGCCTCTTGAATCAGAAATCAGTATTAGTAAATTCTTCCCCAATACGTGGATCTTGCAACTGCAGAGACCTTACAAGCGATTCAGTTATTTCTTTCATTAGTTTTTGACACTTCTTTTGTAGACTCCATCCAGGTATGTGTTGCCATTTTAGAACTACTTTTGGAGTCAGCCAGATGTGGTGGTTCACACCTATAATCCCAGCACTTTGGAAGGCTGAGACAAGAGGATTGCTTGAGCTCAGGAGATGGAAACCAGCCTGGGTCTTGTCTCAAAAAAAAAAAAAAAGAAAGAAAGAAAGAAAAGAAAAAGGAAAGAAGGAAGGAAGGAAGGAAGGAGAAACACTGCAGGAGTCAACTTAAAGTTCTAGGCACCATTCATGCTTCACATTCCTATTGTTATCATGGGGGCAGACCTGGTCTTGCCCTTGGGAGACCCATCTTCTCCCAGCTGAGATGCCCTAGGAACAGGCTGTAGTTGCAAATGAGACCATGGAGCTGAGGAAGCTTGGAGTGTAAGAGAATTTACCAGTTGATCATCATCGTGGAGGAATGGGCAGATTCTGAAACTGAAAAGTCCAGCCTGGCTGTGTTCTCAAGAACTGGTTGCTCAGTTTGCATTCTGTCTCTATTTTAAAGCTTTTTGCATTTTAATTGTAAACATTTTATTCATTCAGAAAAGACTCTTTAAGCACCTAATATGTCCTAGGACTGCTGTCACCCCTGGGAACACACAGTTGTGAGTGAGCAGTTCTTGTCCTAAACAAACAGATATGTAACAGAATTTTCCAGAGTGATAAATTCACGAGGAAAGATGAAGCAGAGAAAGGAGAAAGCACACCAGCAACTGGGTTGCTTCTTTAAGTAGGAGGGTTGAGGAGGTGCTTTATGACAGTAGGTTTGAGGGGAGACTTTACTGCAGACAAAGTGAGCCCCACAGGTGTCTGGTTGAAAGGCACTGGCAGCAGTGAAGACAGCAAGTGCAGAGGCTCTGAGGCAAGTGAAGGCGTGACCTGTTGGTGGCCCTAAGAAAACCTGTGTGCCTCTAAGGATGGAAGTCTGAGGTAAAAGGTGGTGAGGTTGGCAAGACAGCCTGGGCAGCGTGCTACACGCCTGGTCATCAAAGTCTTATTTACAGCAATTGCTGTGCTTGTAATTTAGTCAAAACCATTTTTATGAAATCTTGTGTTTCAATAGATGCTATAACCCATAGTAGTAAACTGAGCATAGTCTGAATATATAGGGGGAATAGTTCCAATTAGCTTAATCACCTCAAGTATCACCTAAAGTCTGTTAAAATCATGATTCTCAAGCAGAACTGTGCCACCAGACTCCCCAGGAACGTTGTCAGTGTTTAACTATCTGAGCCCTGCAGCAGACTTACCAAATCACAAGACGGGGAGGTGGGCAAGGAGTGCTGGCGTGTGTATGTTGGATCATGTTTCCAGCTGATTCTGATAAGCAACTCTAATTAAAACTGTAAGAGTTAACAGTGTGACTTTAAATTATCTTTTATTCTTCTAGTCTCCGAGGACTTTGTCTCCTACTCCATCAGCAGAAGTAAGTGCCATTTAAAAAATATTTTTTTAAAAAAGATACAACACACAAAAGAACAGAAAAACTGTGTGATTATGATGGGCGCAGGGATTACTTACGTGTAACATAGGACCATCAGATTCAGAAGTATATTTCTTTGAAAATGACAATAAAGGAGTCAAAATGACCTCACACAGATCTGAGCCTGTGCCTCTAAGTGGCAGGAAATTGTCTGTGGGGTCTCAAGCCACTTGTCCCAATGTGGGGCTCCCTGCCCCCATCTATAATGAATTGATCTGAACCCTAATATATTGAAATGGCCAACAGTGGTCACGCAGTGTATTCAATAAGCAGAGCCGTCTTTATGGAAGGTTATTCTCTTTGGTCTAAAGTCAATCATCGGCATCTCGGGACACTGCCAGAGAAAGAGGAAACGGTATCTGGTCCTAAACCAGGGGAAGTGAGGACCAGTGGGAGGCCCAAACTTCACCTGCACATACGTTGCTTATGTGCTAATCCTGACTTGTACCCCACATCTTCATAACAAAATTAAGTAAAAAAATTTTTTTAAAGATTAAACAAATAAGGTCAATCATTTGGTCTTAAAGCCAAGCAACTTTCTGCATTTTCTTTGTAAACCTGGACTGATCTTACAGAATCTCTGTAATTCAAGATAGAAAAAAAAAATTCCATAGTAATTCATGATTTATGACTAAATGGTATAAATTATTAATTTCTACAAGTATTCTGATAATTTACAACTGAAATGATGAAGAATTAACTTCCATTACTGACTGCTTGCAAGGTTGAAGCCCATCATTTGAGGACTTTTTTGTTATCACCAGTGATGATCAAGCCTAAGTTTTCTTGCCATGTGTTCTCAAATTCCAGAGCTATGGTTACTGAGATTTAAATTGAGTCATTATCCATGCATTCTTTCAAACTTTTTGGCTGTACCAGTAGAAACTTCATAGGACAAGACTCCTAAAATGTAAAATATTCTTTGATTTTTCTGACAGTTTTATGTAGTGTTTATGTGCATGTGGGTTTTTTATACTTATTACCTAATATATTCATTTCCAGATTTGGACATGGGTGACATATTAGTGGTGCTATTATATTCCATTGAATTGATATGTCAGAATTTCTTTATTATGCCCCAATTTGTTGAACACGTAAGATAAGTTTTCACCTTTATGAATGATGATACTGTAAAAATCTTTGAATACATTGTTTATTTTATAGGGCACTTAAGATTATTCCCCTGGAATATATTTCCCAAAGTGAGAAGTAGAATACTGGCAGTCACCAACTTGTTCTCTAGAAGAATCAACTTAAAATGTCACCAGATCAATGCTGTAGACAATGTGGGTTGGTAGTCAGAATGGTAGGTGAACTTAGAGGCATGAGGCTGGTTCTGAAGCAGATCCTGCCTGCCCTAGCTGCACACCTGTACACAGCTCTCTCCCCTGCTTTAACCTTGTTCTGCATAGTGGGGAAGGGAGGCAATACATGTGATCTGTGCTTCCTTGTTGTTATGTAGATCTGATAGATGGGTGAACAAACTTTATTAAACTGAAAGCCACAATATCGCGTTTTTATTTCAAGTTTTGCATCTTTTCTCAGAGCTCTATCCCTGTATGAGTTTATAATTTTACTTCTTAAAATTTTAATAAATGCAAGTACTGCAGATTTTGAACAAAAAAAAATTAGCCACGGAATGCTAATTTGCATATAAGTAATCTACATGCCAAAACTGGCGTATAAAATATATGTAAAATAGTCACGGTAATTCCTCAACAGCTTCTGTGGAACTTGGTTCCACTCGGAAATGATGAGAGTCTGAATGTGTCGTGTGCTCACACTTCCTTGAACTTTGTTTCCAGGGCTACCAGGACGTTCGGGATCGGATGATCCACCGGTCCACAAGCCAGGGCTCCATCAACTCCCCTGTGTACAGCCGCCACAGTTACACTCCGACCACATCACGCTCTCCCCAGCATTTCCACAGACCTGGTAAGGGTGACTGTTCCTGGGATTCACTCGATGTGATAAGCTGTATCTCTGTGCATTTTCTTCCCACCATGAATAGGTTGTTGAAAAATATTTCTGTTCCTCTCCCAGAACAAAATGAAAACTAGTGTCCAACTATATTTTCTTATTTCTTTTCTTGAAATATCAGTCATTGTATGGCTATGTTCATTACGATTGATTAAGTAGTTACGTTTTGACAATGAACTACTGGAAGCAAGGGAGATTTTTTTACTTTTTAGAGTTTATGAAAATCTTACCACTTTGATACTTAAAATGAAGATCTCCAAAAGAAAGTATTTTCATGTGCTTTTTAGGTATAGCAACATCATCTAAAATCCAGTATTAGCCACTTATTAACAGACTGATTTTGTTTCCCTTGTCCAGGCACAAGGTGTTACTAAGCATTCTTGGTTATCCACCTTCTGGAAAGAGGCCTCAGGGTCGTACCTGACAACTTTTAAGGTCCCTTCAAACCCTAAGAGTTTTAATCATATTTGGAAAACATAAAAGCATCAGGGAGGCACTTACTACACTAGAGAATGCCACATAGTAGTGGACCTTCGTCTGCAGAGAAGTTAATTTCTGTAACTATTAGTAGGTGTCTCCTATGTGTAGTAGAAGAATGGAGATCCCAGCACAGATCCAAGATTCCTGCAAAATAGATTCACAAGTAAGATTCTGACCTCTAAAAACACTTCATGTTGATGTTATACATCTGTGAAGACTTCATTTTAACCTTCTTGCTTCTGGATGGATTGATGAGAACAAACCATTCAATATGTACAAGAAATAAAAACAAAGAAAATTAACAGGATATAAAAAGACTGCAATCTTCCCTTGAAAACTATAGATTTAACACTCGTTGAGAATTGAAACTATTTGATCCTTCAACAGTATATAAATTTCTCTAGGCTTATAAATATTTACTCAGCATTTATTAAATTACGCTAAATGAAAGTTTCCAGGAAATTTATTCCTTGCTTTTTGTCATGCACCACTATATTCATTTTATTCATGCCCGGGACATGGATCTTGATTTAAGCCCTTGTCTGTCTGGGTGATAAGAAATTTTCTCTGCTGCCTCCCTGCATACGCTGAGGTCAGAGTGGCACGGGGCTGTGGGGAAACTGTTGGCCCAAAGACCCCTGAGTAGTGAGGGAGTGGTCGGTCAGCAACATTGGTTCCTCCAAAAAGCTTGTGTCTTTACTGAGACAGTTTTCATCTGTTCTCATCATGGTTCTGATGCCAGTGGGTTTCAGAACATTATCCTTCTCTCCTTTCACAATATATTACATATATGCATGATGCCAGTTGTTAGGCTTTATCATTATTTTTTGAGGTCTGCCCTTCTAAACTGAAGCTGGTGTGGATCTGATGGCATACTTGTGATCCATATAGAACACTCCAAAGTGTCCATCCACTCCACAAATTCTAGATGCCAAATGATGACTTGAAATTCCCTAGCTCTGAGTTTAGTTTTAATGGTCCATTCTTCCTGAGCTAACTGAGTTTCCAGTCTCCAGTGCCACCTACCGCTGAACAATTCTCAGGGTCACATGTACCTCTTTGGCACCCAAGGAACACAAATAGATTTTCCTTCTACATAGGCAAAATAAAGTTAAACTTCTAGTGGGATAAGTTTGCAGCTTAAAAAAAAATCTGACCCTTACATATAGGTACTCTTTTCATGTTTCTTGAAATGATTCTCGTTTTTTTTTTACATGTGTTTCAGAGGGTTTCATTTTGTCAGGTGCTTTTTAAAAACAGCCATTGTTGAGTCCAAATGACATGCCTGATACTGCTTGACAGTATCTGGTGTCATCCTGACAGACTGTCCTGGTGATCATTCTTTCTCACCAAAGCCATTTATTCTCGGAGTGACTCTGTACCCACTGAACCGATTGGCAGATTCTCCCCACTTTGCCTAACCCTTAGCAGGTGCATTCTTAATCCTTTTTCCTTACTCCTTTTTCAGACTCCTGATTAACGTTCTTGATTTGTTTTCCCTCGGAACGATGGCACTGTCCCTGCTCCTGTGTTAATTTCTGTTCTTCTTTTCTGTTTCCGCCGTGCCCTGCCCCCGACTCCTTGCCGCACAGAGCTTTTGTCTCCTGGTGTGCAGAGGTTGTCCTACCTGCGCACCAGCAGCCTCAGCCCCACCCACAGCGACTCCCGCCCCAACCCCCCCTTCCGACACCACTTCATTCCCCATATCAAAGGTAAGAAGGCAGGTCTCTCCAGGCAGCACCCTGCATAGTGGAGATTTATTAGCACCCTGGGAAAGCTAATAAGATGTATCTCCAAGAGTTAGCCCCTGCCGAGCTTTTGACCTCTCAGCATGCCTGCGCGTGTCATGACGATACCCCACCGTTGTCTTAGAACTGGCATAGTATCTCTCCTTGGGAGAAATGTGTCATTTCTAAGGGCTTTAGATGAAGAAACAGGAAGTATGTTTAAGACCATAAGATCTATTATCCACCACCTCGAAATATATATATTATTATTATTTTGTTTTTGTGTGTGTCAAAAGCAAAATAGAATATATAATTCGGTATGTTCCTGGGTTTCTTATGAGACATGACTCAGCAAAGCACATCAGTATTTAGCAATAAATCATTTAACCATATTAACATGTTTGGACAGCATAAAGAGACCTATGGCAACATAACTTAAATTTCTCTCTTTGAGCTGACTCTCAGAGCAGTTGCCTTCTGATTCGTCCTAACTGCTGCATGATAGAGAAGAGAAGCTTTGCCTTCTGTGTTCTGCTCGTGACTCCCGTTCCCTCCCCATTCCCTTATGGCATTCCTGTTGTTTTCATCAGTGTCTGTAATGCTTCTCTAGTGGTCCTCAGCAGGACTCTCCATGCTGGGGGAGCCAGGTGCCCTTAAGAGGCTATGAAGGGGCCATGATTTAAAATAAGTATGAGCGCCCAGAAGGTAGCTAACTTGTTCTGTGGTCTTGATTTGAACCACATTAACCAACAAAAGTAGCTGAAGGAGGGAGGAGGAAGGGACAAGGTCAGATGTCATCATGGGTCTTAAAGAAGTCCAAAAAGATTCAAACAATGTGCTTACATCTCATGTCACTGATGCGTCCATCGAGGAGCCTACGTGTTGTTCCGCTTTCCTGAATTTTCATTGTCAGCCTACCCAAGCTTTTTTCTTTTTGCTTACTTGGATTTTTGAGCAACTGAGTCCTAAAAGGTAGATGTACCACCTTATCACTATACAGTTTAAAGAAATTGGCTATTTCAGCATTTTCTATGTTTTGCAAGTAATACTGCTGATAGGTTTATTGAAGACACACACCATTTGCCACTAGCAAATTTTGTGGGTAGGCGTAGCACTTTCTAAAGCTCTTGACAGATTATTTTACATTATTATTACTAATAAGTATTTTTGGAAAATTTTTTATTAACTAAATGTTAAGTTAATGCTTAAGAGAATGTTTATAAAATGATAAAGACATTATTAAAAAAAAATAACTTCAGTTGTATGTTTTAAAGAGACTTTAATACAGCAGTCCTTGACCAAATTGAGATTTTGGTTATTTTTAATATTCAAGAGAAAATACATTTTTGATTCATTAAAATGTCAACTTCCTCATTTGGTTATTATATGTTTCATCTTTCAGAGAGAAAGAAAGAAAAATGTCATGGGCCCTGTAAAGTTCTACAAAGTTTGAGCTTCATTAAAAAATTTAGATATACATCCTTTTCTTTTTACAGTCTGAATTAGAAGTTTTTGACACAGTCAAAACTGGGTTTAAACTACAAATAGCATTAGACCAAAAAGAGTTAGAATGACCCTGAACTTATACTTAAAAAAACATCTAGTAGTCTGTCTCCTACTTTCTTATTACTAAACACACGCATATGGTTTGTTCATATAAAATAGTTTTTTTGCTTCAGTTACAAAATATTCATAACAATATATGATTAGTTTTTAATTCAGATGAACTTTTGCCAGCCTGAAAAATAAATAATGGAGAATTCATACATTAAAGATACTGCTTTAAAAACCTAACATATTTGACTAAATGCCGATTCTCCAAGGAATTATGTCTTAGTTATTCTGAAAAACATGTATTCATTTACATAGAAGACCTCTCTAGCAATGGAAATTTCTGAACAGAGGACATCCATGGCCATTTGAGGAACATGTCCAAGATATTTTTAAAATGGAACAGTGACATCCAGGTTGTTTGTGGCCTTTCATTTACTTTTATCTTGGAGCTTGTCTTGTGATCTTGGGGAAGTGTTTTTTTTTGTTTTTTTTTTTGAGTTGGAGTCTCACTCTGTCGCCCAGACTGGAGTGCAGTGGCCGCTCCCGGCCACCGCAGCCTCGACCTGCTGGGCTCCGGTGATCCTTCTGCCTCAGCCTTCCAAGTAGCCGGAATTACAGGCATGCACTACCACGCCCGGCTGATTTTTTGATTTATTGTAGAGATGAGGTCTCGCTGCCCAGGCGGGTCTCGAACCCACGGGCTCAGGCAATCCACTCACCTCAGCCTCCCAAAGGCGCGGGATTACAGGCTGAGCCACCGAGCCCGGCTGAAGTTTTTTTTTTAATAAGTAAATGTGAGCTGGGGAGCTTGACCTAAGATAGGATGTCTATCTCAGGAAGGTATGGCTAGAAGCTGGGGGGACCCTTGCCTCCCCAGCAGCCAGAAATCCAACCACCCATTGCCCAAGTTCACTTCCTGGTTTTTATTTCTGATGCATGTGACCCAGGCAAACTCACTGAGCTGAGGACGCCTGCATGGGTGTAAAGCTGAGGTGCACGGCACAGACTGTCTCTCTACTTCACTGGCTCCTCCATCCATTTTCTGTAGCATTCTTCTTGGTTTTGGGTGTGTTTTTCTTTCTGTACTCCAACTTGCCTTGCAGCCTCATTCTGTATTAGTATGTTGTTGAGTCATTTGGACAACTTTATGCTTTGAAATTTGGAAGAACCATTTTTGCTTTGTTTTGGGCTTTGTGCAGTGTTTGCAAAGTTTCTCTTCCTTCCCCTTTGAAATACTGCTAGATATTACATTCTGTGTCAATTTGTGAGCAGGAGGGCTATATATATAAAGTCTCTTTGAAAGGATCTTTTCTGTTTTGCCACAAATATGAGTTCCTCGGATGCAGATATATATTTGACACTTGCTGAAGGAACTGTAACTCTTATTGACAAAACGTCAGTAAAAACCAGCAATATTGAAAGTCCTTAAATAGTTGAGGGAAACTGCCGGGGTGGGGGGAGCACACCTCATCAACAAGGGTACCTGCATAATGAACATTTGTATACCTAACCCTGAATTGTACCCCACATCTTTAAAATTAAAAAATGTAAAAGTTAAAAAAAAAAAAGCCATTCACAAGATTCTGGAGGTCTTCTCAAGACATTCATTTATATTTTGGAATATAAGCACTTGAAGCTGGGGAATTCTCCAGTAGATTCCCAGGACAGAATTTTGCTCCTTCCTTTCTATTCACTTGTCTTAGAATTAGTCACTCAAGTTCTCATGGTCCCAAAAAGAAAACTGAAAGTGGAGACAAAGAATTTAAAGTTAAGTATGATGAGAATACTGCAAGTGAATACTGTTCCAAGGAGTAAAAAAATTGGCTTATTAGACTGACAGGAAAGGAGCTGAAAATAAAGATCAAGAAATATAAGCATAAGTATAGTCACCACAATTGCTAGGGACACTAACAACTTGAGAACACCTCCCAGTCTGAGGACTTATTTAAAGGAACAAATTAGCTATGTGTGTGATATATATGCTATCATATGACATACACATATATAGATTAATGTAAGTATATTATTTTATAAAGGTCTTATTCCAGCTGACAAATGATGAAGACAGTGATCTTGGTGATAATAATGCCTCCCAAATATTGTATTTTATCTGATACATCATACATTACTTCATCTAATTAATGAACTAAGCTCAGATGACCTCACAGGGCCCCTTATTAGTTCTTTCCTGCCAGGGTTGGGTTGAAAGTTATATCATTTAAAGAGAAGATGCTTAATTTAGAAAAGGGAAAGCTGCCTCTTCTTGAGAATTTTTTCTTTTTCTTCTAAAAATGCCAAAAATGTTTCATGCCTTTGGTATTTCAGGGGCTAAGAATTTGGTACCTAGCAACACTATCATCTATTCTGAGACCTGCTTCCCTAGTAAGCCATTATGATATGTGAAAATCACATTGTGCAGAATCCCTGAGATGGGTGTGTTGCTGAGTCTCTCTTTACCTGGTTTTTAAAAAATGTTTTGTGGGAACTTTTAAATGATTATAGTTAAATCTACTTATAAAATTTGAATATACTAGTGTATATATCTATTTTTTAACATCAAGAGAGGTCAGTGTTTGCTGAAGACTAACAAAGGAATAACCACACCCAACTCATGACAGCATTCAGCCAGAATTCACCCCTTGAGAAATTCAGACAACTGCTCCATAGCCTTGAGAGACTTCGGCTGTATCTGAAGAGTGATGGGCTTTTACTGCTTCTCACCAGCAGTCTTGTTGATAGAAAGATTTGAATAGTTGGACAAATGTCTGACTCTCATAACCTTAGGCTTTTGTGTCTTGCATAAGCAGGTATTGTGGTTGTGTGCATGACACTGGTTAATAATGATCACAGGAGATATAGTGGAGTTTCCTCTGGCTGGGTAGTGTGACCAAAACCTATGATAACTTTCCCTGAAACATCTTATGTTCTATAAGGATGATGGGGTCAGAGGTGAAGGAATAAGGGCAGGCAACTGTGTGGCTCAGAAGCTGCCAGTATTCAGGATACTCAGGGAGGGTCTTCAAAAGACAAAATAAAATAAATCAAGAAAGTTGTGACCCATTAGACCAGCTTATGAGGAAAGACTCCAAGGATGATTATGTTTTTCTGTTATGGGTTGCTCTGGTTAATAACTTCTAATGTGCATAGGATTAAATGTTTGTAAGTGAAACAGTTAAATTGGAGTTATCAAGAATCAACTCGATGGGAAAGTTATTAAAAGGGTGCTATTGTGATCCGAATGTTCTACACAGTAAATCTTCACTTCATGTCATCAATAGGTTCTTGGAAACTGTGACTTTAAGGAAAACGACATATCACAAAACCATTTTTTTTTCTCATCAATGTTATAACAAAATTACTTGAAGGAACCATTGTTATTCGAGGACCTGCTGTACATGGTTTGCTTAAAGTCAGAGTTTCCAAGAGACTCTCAATATTAAGAGAAGACTTACTGTGCTAGCATCTGGCTTTCTTTAATTAGGAGATCAGAGAAAGATGATGGTTACATCATTCATTCATAGACATTTATTAAGTACTTACTCCTGGCCAGGCAATACACTGAGGACTGGTGATAGTGAATGAGACTGAATTCTAATTCAGCCATAGGTTAACACACTATTTCTTTCTAACTATAAACCATAATCTTCCTTCCCCTGTTTTTGTGTGTTTTTTATACTCACTTTTTTCAGAAATGAACGAGTTCCTTATCTTTAGGAGAGTGACAGTAAATAGCATTTTTATAAATCAATAGTTTGGGGTGAAGTTTCCTAATTTTTAGAAACTAATATCTGACTTTAAAGTCAACATTAGAACATATTTGGGGCTGGGTGTTAAACTGACTCTTGAAAGGAAAACATATAAGTTTCAGAATACCAATAGCCAAAACCCTGAAATCTAAATATGACTTGGTAACAGACCCAGATACCATATTTGGAATATCTTACTGACCATTTAGTACAGATCTGTGCTCTGGTTACTGAAAAATATACATATTAAGAAATTAAAACTCTCTTCAACAGATTTAAAAACTCTAGCAATTGGCATCTTCAGTACTTGGCTGGCCAGATTTAGAACACGGTGACTTGAAGAAACTGGCTAGTATTAGCCTTAATAGGTACATAAATTGGACTTTATCAAAATTAAAAACTTTTGTGCATCAAAGGACCCCATCGAAAAAGTGAAAAGACAACCCACAGAATGGGAGGACATATTTGCAAATCCTTACATATGATAAGGAACTTTTATCCAGAAAGTGTAAAGAACTCTTGCAACTCAATAGTAAAAATTGACATTACTAATTTATTAACTCTTGATAGTTCCACCTCTTCTGGTGTATTCTGGGGACAAGATGTTTTAAGATGTTTCCAGACATGGGGTAGGAGGACAATTTAGGCCAGTAAATAATCTCTTTTTAGTGTGTGTGTGTTTTTAACAAGATCGGTCAATGTTTGCTGAAGACATACAGCCCAATAAAGAGTTTTTCATAAATATCAGTTCATCCCTGTCATTCTCTAGGCAGAAGGGAGTGATGGTAGCTGTGGTGGAACTTCAAGCTTTTGCAGCCATGCCTCACTCTCCTTTTGGGCTTTGTCCCTCTTCTCTCCTCCAAGAAAACCATGCTGTCTAGCCATAGTGGCCAGTCCTGGTGTTCCCACACACCAAGCCTTTCCATACCCTCCCTTCTCATGATGCTCCAGCCTCTGGAGCATGGGCCTTTCCACTCTGCCCACCCACCACCGACCTGGTGAGCTCACTGATGTCCAGCTCAGGTCTAAAATCTTCACTCTGTAGCTGTCCTGAAGCATCGATGATACCCTCGTCTGAGTCTCATAGCGTTTTTCTTATACCCCTGAGTAACAATTGCATGGTGTGGTTTGTATTTGGCTTACATCTATCTCCTTAGATCCAGAGCTTCTTGAGGGCAGGGAATATATCTCATTCATCTATCTGTCCTCAGTAGTAGCTTGGTGCCCAGCCATAGTAGGTGTTCAGTAAATGTTTTAGTGATTGAACCGTTAGCCTGGGTAGAGCCTCATCTTTGAAGAGAAAGGTGAGGAGAGATATAAGTGGTCCCAAAGCACCTGACAGAAAGGGTCTGACTCTGCCTTGCACATTTCAAAGTGAGGAAAACAGAAACATATGCTGCAGTGAAGGCATTTTGTATTCCCAAGGGGAAGGACTGGGTGACCACAAAGGTTCCCAGATGCAGCCTTCAGATCAGAGAAATATATGCTAATTGCCAAGCCTCTACCATCACGCCTGGGAGTGACTGTATCTGGGTTTGCATAGCCACCCTTTTACATGCTTGGGATTTAACCATCTGACAACTGAACCTGAATCATTAGAAGCGACTTTCCATCCCTCCTAGTGTCCTCTCCATCTAATCAGTTTGCTGCTAGTTCACAGCCTTCAATGCATGCCATTGGAATGACGCATCTTACTGCTAGCTGCTTTTAACCCAGCTCCACTTGAACTCAGATCTCTCTGATGGAAAACTAAACCTGGTAACACCTTTGAGAGCCAAGCTGATAGATTGAGTTTGTTTCTTTTGTTTCTCCATTTTGATGAACCTCCTTCCAGTCTGTTTTGAATTTTGATTACGCTTGCTTTGTTTTCTTTGTTTCTCTCCCTTTTCTCATTTTGTTTTTTCCATTCTTCTCATTGGAGGCAATGAGCCGTCCAGCGGCCGGAACTCCCCTCTCCCTTACCGGCCAGACAGCCGCCCTCTAACTCCAACTTACGCTCAGGCCCCTAAACATTTCCATGTTCCAGGTAGGAGCTGACACGGTCTGTGTCTTGGTGTCCTGTCACAGTGTAGAATGTAGCCTTGTAACCTTGTCTTGTCTCATCTCTCATGCTCTTGTAATTGGGATGCACACAGTTGACAAACCCTAAATTGCAGGATCTGACCTAGAGGACCTTTCCAAAGTTTTATATGTGAAATGCTAGGAATATATCAAAGGTTTATATTTTCCCAAATTTTTTTTGAAGCGGGTGGGAGACAGAGGGTAGAAGAAAGGGTCTGGATTATTTTGTTTGTTTTTTACTAACATTTAAATTTTACCTTTCTATCAGTGTCTTCTAAGATATACCCTTGTGGTGGTACCAATTATTGACCAATTATTGCAATGGCAATCTAGTTATCTTCTCATCCTAAAGACTGAACCTGATTATTATATTAATATTTCCTGTTTGTCTCCAGTGTGGAGATTCTTTTTATGGACTTTTCAGGGAGCTGTAAAATTGGGTGAGTTGGGTGGTCTTTCTGTGGTGCATAACTGGCTGGCCACCTCCATAGCCCACAAAGATATCTTGCAATTTAGGCTTGGTGCTGCAAGCTTTGCTCTAGTAGTCACAAGCATTTGCTGTCATAGTGCAAATGGCAATTTGCCATTAGAAACTAGAAAAAGTCCATCAGTTTCTTAACATTTAGGGCCTGCTCAATTTTTGAAGGCAGAACTGACCATCAGAGTCCATGATGTCATTTTTCTATCAGAAGTATTTTGTTTTGCTTATTTTAGATACTGAAAGTTGTCTCATAAATTGCCCACTATGTTAATATATGTGTACATATTGGGAATATGTAATCATTTTTTTTTCTTTCTTGGTCTAAACTTAACTAATAAGTCAGGAAAGTTCAATGAGATTCATACCACTAAGCTGGGACTGCCCTTTATAAAAAGTTTCATTGAACCATGAAAAATTAGTGTTCTACATTTGTCATTTTTTTGCACGAAGAATGTCCCACCAAGATACAGTGCCCAAGATTCCAGAGAATCAGAAACCTTTTGAAATTTCCTGAGCATTTTTAGCTAAGGTAAAATGGTGGCATAATCAAGTGGGGTCTTGTGTAAATATATGAATAGTATTTAACATCTATTTTCTTTTTCTTTCTTTTTTTTAATTTGGCCTATACTAATTAAGATTTTGCTGAACATCCCGTCAGCACACTGGGCTACCTTGCACATAAAAAGTGTTTCTATGTTTAAAAAAAAAAAAAAAACCTTAATTTTTCTACATTGCTTTTTACTGTTCCACTCATTAGTTGAAAAGTAAATTGAGCCACTGGTCTCCACTGGGGGTTCAATTTCTAGACAGTAGCAATTTGGGGATTACCCCCAAACTGGTTACGTCTTCCTCACCATTAGAGTACTTCCACTGCTTGCATTTCTTCCTGTTTTAATCCCACTTTCAGTGAAGTGTGTATTTGAAATAAATGGCTCATGAGTTAATGACATCTCTCTATATCCTAAGATGTATTACAAAGGCTTTCATATCACTTGTCTGTAGTAAGCCACTCATTTATGTAATCTTTTTTTCCAGTAAACTCAATCTTTGTAATACAGAAGTTAACCTTCTGGGTTATTTTTGTTCGAGAGCCTTCAGTTTGGTTGGCCTTTTGGTTGATTAGTTTTTCCCATCGCTGACTGGTTCCCATAATCACACACCTTTGCTTTTCATTTCCACAGATCAAGGGATCAACATTTACCGAAAACCACCCATCTACAAACAGCATGGTAAAACCTGCTTTCCTCTTTGTAGCTTTTAAATAGCAAAGTCAGCTGAACTTCTCTTTGCTGTCCTCTGAAAGGCTTACCTGCTGCTGCTTTTGAGAATATAACTGAGGAGTCCAGCATATTATGCCTTTCTGGTCTACTAAGATGCAAATATTGTGAAATTGATGTTCATGGATGGAGAACACTTTGCTTGATTAGGAAGCTTCTAGCCCATTTCTAAGCCCATCAAACCATGTATCATTCCATTCCCGAAGAAGGGGAAGTACTGGACACACAACTCACAAACATCCTAACACGACTTTTTTTTTTTTTTTTGCCATCTAATAATTTAACCAAACTTTAAAATAATTTTGATGCGCTTTCAATTAGTTTGACTACTTAAAAATAGTGAAAAACAGCCACCTAGAAAAATTAACTGGACTGAGCCTACATCGACTTGGCTGTCCAGGTCTCTGGTTTCTTATTGGGTATGAAGATGACTGCCCAGTGGAATAGATGGGACGCAAGCTGTCACAGAGGTCATGGCCCTGGTCCAACTTTCTCCTTACATGGCTCTGTGATGTCATGGACGTCAACTCTCTGTGCCTCAGTTTTCTCTTCTGTAAAAACCAGTTAGTTAGATGTTTGTCTCTAATATCCCTGCTATTAAATTTAGTGATTCTTACTTGTATCACTAAAGTGGGTTTATAATTGTGCTTTCCTTTTCTGGGAATTCAGATTTTTTTTTAACCTGGGAAACCACATTACTTATGTAGATCACATTGTCCTCCACCATTAAGTTCCTATACATTTATCTGCTATAAATCTTCGTGAATAAATAAGCCAAAACTGGTCTTCGGATGATTTCCAAAAATTATAGACAAATTGTGCCTGGAAATTTGAAGGCTTTCTTTAGAATCTAGCTGACATTCATGAATCATTAAGAATTATGATGACATTAAAAGCAAATAAAGTTGAAAATGCACAAGGAAAACATTTTAGGACAAAATCCTAGGGAGAAAAAGAGAAGGTATGTGTCATAACAGCTCTAGAGCTATGATTTTTTTCCTCATCTTTTTTTTTTAAGGTTTTACACCATGTGCTTGCTTTTTGAGTTTGTTAACATTGTTTTTGTTTTTGTTTTTTATGGTTTAATGTCTTCCCACACACTCATTAACATGTGAATGTTTAACTACTGACTTCACCAATTCTAATGCGTAAGTACTGTTTGAAGTCATGCTTTTTGGTTAATTTAAGAGTAAAATTCCCAGAGTTTGATTTGTCAATTTAGAGACTTTTAAAAATACTAAAATCTTTAGGCTCTGTCTCTCTAAACAAAAAATCAAATAATTAAAATTTAAGGAGATTGGATAATGTAAGATTACTTGGAGGAATTAATCGGCTTCTTTGTGGGATACTTACTTTGACTGAAATCTTTACTTTCAGTCTGTTGTAATTAATTAAGAGAAGACCAGCCAGAGAAGTACTTTCCAAAGGATGTTTTGCAAAACAGCCATTCCACACCAAAGAAATTGATGTTATGCCTGAAACTGGTGTCCATGCCCCTATGTGTTTGGGAGATGCTAGACTTAATAAAGCCCCACTCATTTTTGTAACGCAGAATTTCTTAGTCTTTCATATGCTAACATGTTTTGTTCATCTTTGAGAAGGGGAGTAGTATGTAGTTTTTTCCAAGCTGAAATTTTTTTTCCCATGAGGTTGAAGATTCAGAGAAACACTGTTCCATATCTGGCCAAGACTTTATTCTGTAGAGCTGGACATGGCGTGTGTTCCTGTAGTCCCAGCTACTAAGGAAGCTGAGGCAGGAGCCTCACTTGAACCAGGGATTTTAATGCAGTTTGGGCAACATAGAGAGACCTTGTCTAAATAATAAATAAACATATAAACTTCATTCCTTATTATTATTGGGTGACCTTGGTTAAACCATTAAGTAAATTGAGAAACTGGAGGTTACTAGAAGAATGGAGGAGTTGGAACTGAAAATTCAAAGGTTACTTCTGTATTTTAAAATATGTAAAATAGCTAGTCATGGCGGCTTATGCCTGTAATCCCAGCACTTGGGAGGCTGAGTGGATTGCTTGAGCCCAGGAGTTCAAGACTAGCCTGAGCAACACAGGAAGACTCCACTTCTGTGAATGTGTGTGTGTGTGTGTGTGTGTGTGTGTGTGTGTGTGTGTGTGTGTGTGTGTGTGTAATAAATCCAGGAGGAAAAAGTATTTAAGGCATTATAAACATATCTTGAAACACTTAGTAATATTCCAGGTCAGTTTGCTAATTTAGCCAAAATCAGAGACTGACCATTTAACCTGGTTTGTTTTGCTCTATCAGTATGGTTAGATTTGGGCTTAAGCCATGCCTCCTCCTCTAAGCACAGCCAGTAAGAACTTTGTGAACTAATGTTACTGCTAGTTTGGCTTCTGTTTTAAAGTTGGATGACTCACTTGTGTGCACAGACCCTACCCTTGAATAAAACAATAGGTAGACATGGCAAACAGAAGTCACAATGCTAAATTCCTGCAAGCTGAAAGTGTATTTTCCTATCTCCATTTATTCCAGGACTCAAGTACACACATATAGTGTATATGGATTAAAAAGAGCTAGACCAATATATCTGTGGCTTCTTGCCCAAAGGTGCAAAGCCAGCCAACCCTCTCATGATTAGCAACTACAGTTAAATGATAATATCGTGCTTTGAACTTAGCTCTTTAATTTTAAATTACTAATTACTCTAGGAGAGTATTGTCCAGTAGAACTTTCTATGATGAGCCGGACTCAGTGGCTCAGCCTGTAATCCCATGCTTTGGGAGACCGAAGTGAGTGGATTGCCTGAGTCTGCGGGTTCGAGACCCACCTGGGCAACTTGGCGAGACCTCATCTCTATAATAAATCAAAAAATTAGCCGGACGTGATAGCGCGCACCTGTAATTCCAGCTACTTGGAAGGCTGAGGCGGAAGGATCACCAGAGCCCAGCAGGTCGAGGCTGCGGTGACTGGGAGTGTGCCACTGCACTCCAGTCTGGGTGACAGAGTGAGACTTCAACTCAAAAAAAAAAAAAAGAACTTTCTATGATGATAGAAATGGTCAATATCTGCACTGTCCAATACAGTAGCTACTAATCACATGTGATGACTGAACACTTGAAATATGACTAGTCCAACTGAGGAATTGAATTTTGATTTTATAATCTTTTTGTTTTATTTTATTCATTCAAATTTAAATGGCCACATCTACCTAGTGCTGGGCAGCACTGTTCTAGAATAAGGTTTTTCAGATGTAGGACAAATGTAGAATGAAGTTTTGCTTCTGACAACATAAAGAAAATGAGTTGTCAATAGGTGCCTCTGAGTGACTGGGCAATTGATAGTGGTGATAAACAACTTTCTAGAATTGAAACATTTGCCAGAAAAAACAAGAAAACTGTGTAGGTGGGGTTATACCACCACTGCCTTACAGACTGATAGCTAAGCAACCCCTGATTCCCACCTAGATGCAGCTGCCTTGGCAGCCCAGAACAAGTCTTCAGAAGATATCATCAAGTTTTCCAAGTTCCCAGCAGCCCAGGCTCCAGACCCCAGCGAGATACCAAAGATTGAGATGGACCACTGGCCTGGTCCCCCCTCACTTGCCGCCGTAGGTATGCAACTATTGCAGCTAAGTCAAATGGGCACATTGCTAGGAGATCTCAAAATGAAATGCTTAAAAACATGAAAGAAAGTACATCCCATCTCAAAGATTTTTAAGAAAAGCATGACCAAGAGGTAGAATAGTGAAAAGACCTAATGTGGTATGACGTGCATGCAAAATGCTTAAAAGTTACAAAAATGCATTCGCCAGAGCCTGGCTCTAACCAAACTCATTGAGGATCCAGAACTGATCTAAAACTGTTGGTTTGCATCAACTCTTGGGAGTTATTACTGCAAAATCAGTAACTCTCTTGAACATAGTTGAGTCAAAGTCTTGTGGCAAGAACATTGTTCCATATCATTAGAGTCTAGTGGCTGAATTTACTGAGTGTCTATAGAAGCGTGACTTCTTTCAGTTAAATTTGTTTTATACTCTTTCTGGGTTGTGGTTACAATTGTCTTAATGGCCAATTTTAACACTGAAGCACTTTCACTTTTCTTGCAAGATCACGTTCTCCATTACTAAGAAAGAGCTATTACAGAGTATGGGTGTTCTGAAATGTTACTTGCGTGAAGTTATGTGATTGTACATCTATCATTTTCATGAATTCTGTGCCAAAGTGTCACATTTGAGCTGTTTCATTCTTTGCTTTGTGCTTTCAAATTATGTCTGTGTCTGTTTTGCCAATAGTGAAATCACTCAGCCTAAAAAGTGGTATTAGCAAACCCAGAAACTAACAATGGAAATTTAGTGAGTCAGCTTTACAAAGATATGATGATCTTATCACATTTCTGTTGACACTCTAAAGGGCCTTCAATTTTCCAAAATTTCCTAATCCTCTTCATCAGCTATTTTTTTCATCAAGTAATTTTTGGAATAATTTTTTCAAGCTATGTAAGGGGATTTAAAAGCCATTAATATTTATAGAAATAGTTGAAGGAAAATCTACCACTTCAGTTCATTATTCACAAGTATTCTATACGTTGTGTTGATGAAATTCATCTAGTTCTTGCAGACTTGTATCTATTAGTTTGTATTAATGTAAACCAAAGAGAGAAAATTCACCTTGACATTTATAATTTTAAGGACTAAGAATCAGTTATTGGCTTCCCTCTGCCAAGCCATACCTTTTCAGGAAGTTCCTGAGGTCTTTGGGGTTTCCAGTCCAGTTATGTTGCTTAGTGGCAACATTGACAGGGCTAAATTTTGGGGAGAGGGAGAATTACATTTTTGTCGTTGAACTTGTTATTAGTAAATAGTTTAACATTCTTTTGGATTCCAAAATGAGGAAAATTTCTGGCTCATTAATAGAAATGATAAAAACTAAGATTATTAGTTAAAGTTTATTTTGATTAGATTAGCAAACTTTCCTGTTTCCGCCCATAGCCGGACTAATCCAAGCAGTTTAGGAAAAACAATCACTACCTTAATCTTCCAACCATTCAGACAGATTCCTCCTTTCCATTCCCTGTCTCCCCTTTTCCAGGAAGCTAAAAAATTATACATTTGCTATGTTGTTCCAGAGTAATTTTCTAGCTGTTAACACTTTCTATTTACCTGTTAGTATAAAACACTTTTTTGACATTTTGCAAAGGATGAAAAAAGGGGGGGGGGGGAACATTAGAGACCCATTTCTTGATAGAAATACTAGAAGTATGCTTTTTAATGAATTGACTAAGAATAGAAGACAGAGTGAGAGATTATGCAAGTCTAAATATTCAGAAAAAGAGAAAAATGTAAGATTTTAAAATTTGTCACAAAAGAGCAATTATTTTACCCATCATCGGAATACAGATAAATCTGGGTGCCTCTCTATTTGAAAATTTACCTGGGGGACATTAAAGTAACAACTGGACATCCCCTTCCCAATTACTAGAATGAGCTGTGACCAGTAGTTAAGGGGAGGCCATAGACTCAATTGCGAGGCAAACCCGATTCTGATTGAGCAGACTCCTTGTTGGGAGCCAGCATCCATGCCTCACACTGGCTTGTCACACAGGGAAACCAGCCAGTAGTGCTGAATTGGTAGCAGGTGTTCCTGCCCCCTCGTGTTGTTCACTTAAAAATGGTAAATAAGCCGGGCTCGGTGGCTCAGCCTGTAATCCTGCGCCTTTGGGAGGCTGAGGTGAGTGGATTGCCTGATCCCGCGGGTTCGAGACCCACCTGGGCAACGAA